TGGTAAGGCCCCCACACATCAGAGTGCACAATATGAAAAGGAAAAGAAGATCTTTTATTTCTTACAGGGTAATTGTTTCTACAATGCTTTGACAACTGACATGACTCACAATTGAGACTGGACACACTGACTCCCTTAAACAATTCGGGAAGTAAATGACTTAAAGCAGAAAAAGGTAAATGACCAAAACGACAATGACTCGACATAATTCGACTGACAGACTCCGAAAAAGTAGAACCAAAGGTAGCGTTCTTGGGATAATCAAGGCATTGGCCAAGAGTGTCGAGCAAGTATATTCCGTTCGCTTCATGGCCACTCCCAATCACCTTCTGAGATTCCAGATCCTGAAACACACAATGAGAAGGGAAAAATGTTACACAACAATTCAATAACTTGGTCAAACTACTTACAGATAATAAATTGGTATTCAATTTAGGTACATGAATAGTGAAAGATAAGAGTAAGGAGTCTGTAGGCTTGACAGTTCCCTTGCCAGAAATAGAGGCAAGAGAACCATCAACTAAGGTGATTTTGTCATGACCAGGAAGCAAATCATACGAAACAAACAAAGTGGAAAGGTTGGTCATGTGATCAGAAGCACCTGAATCTATGATCCAAGGGGTCTTGGGATTACCTGAGGTGGATGCATGGTTAGCAGAAGCTCTTATACCTGAGTGAGAAAATGCGGTGGTGGATGAACTTCCAGAAGGGTTGGATGATGAAGTTACACCTTCAAGCTGGCTGATCATCATTCCAAAATTCTCATTCTCGGCTTTCATGGCTGTCAACTGTGCACAGATAGACTCAACCTCTGTATCTACACCTGTGGCTGCATGTGCACTTCCTGTCTTTCTACTATCATTTTTCTTCTAGGATCGGATAGGGACAAGACTGGGATGCAATTTCCAGCACTTGTCCTTGGTGTGTTTCGGCTTCTTGCAATATTCACAGACCACCTCCTTCTTTCCTGTGCCACTGGGAGCTCCTATAATCCCTTTGGGTTTAACCCCCATATTTGCATAATGATCATTGGTGCTGACTCGTTGAACCTGTACTTGCCTTCTACTCTCTTCACTGCTAACCAAAGCATATGCTTGTGACAATGAAACACTTTCCTTGGACAAAATGTTCTGCTTTGTGATGTCATATTCAGGATTCAGCCCTGTTAGGAAATCAAAAACCCTGTTCCTTTCAACAAATTTCCTGTATGTCTCAGCATCATTGGGGGTATTCCATGTCACAGCCTCTATCAAATCAATCTCTTGCCATAGAGATTTCAGGGTTGAGAAGTATGTTGCAAGTGATTTCTCCCCCTGCCTTAGATTCTTCACATCACTCCTCAGTTTATAGGCTCTGGAAACATTCAATTTTTGGGAGTAGGTTTCTGCAACACTATCCCAGATTTCCTTAGCCGAGTTCATCCAAAGATAGTGTTGACTAATCTGTGGCTGCATTGAATTCACAAGCCACCCAATCACTGTGTAGTTCTCTTGCATCATCTCTCCAAAGATGGATCATTCTCTGGGGAAGCTTTCTTGCTTCCAGAAATAAACCCCCATTTTCCTCTGCTACAAATATGGATTTTCACTGATTGTGACCATGCCAAGTAGTTGGTCCTATCAAGTTTAACTGTAGTTACAGCCAACATAAAATCGGCTGGGGTTCCCAAAGTCTGTCCATATTCAGCAGCACTCTTGCTTTCAAGGTCCGAGGAATCCATCATGCAAAGGCGCCAATTAGGGTTTTAATAAGTTTTCCAAGGTACAGGGAATCTTGATGAACTTAGTTTGAGCTGAATCAGCAACAACAACCAGCTCACAAAAATAGTTCAGTCTTGATAACTGTGACAGTCCAGCTCGGTGGCAGCACTTTCTAGTGTAAGAAATACTATTCCAGCCTTCAAGGGACAACCAGCAGACCTCCAAACACAAAGTATTTCAGGTCCCCAACAACCGTTGTCCCAAAGAGAAGAATAACAGCCCACAGTCCTTAAGAGGCCTTTTGACAAACACTCTGTGTGCAGTAGTTAACACCCTACTG